CCATCCTTCCAGACGTTCACAGTGTGGTCAGGGCAACAGAAGGAGCCAGTGAGTGGGGGTGGGGGTGGGGGTGGTTGACGACAAAGGGGGGACCGGGGGAGCTCTGGGTCCAGCCCAGCCCCAGCCCCTGCATCTCTGCCTTGTAGCTGGGGCCCGGCGCCTGAAGCAGCTGCTCAGTTTTGCCTTGGGGGGACTCTTGGGCAATGTGTTTCTGCACCTGCTGCCGGAGGCGTGGGCCTACACGTGCAGCGCCAGCTCTGGTGAGTATGAAGACTTCAGTAAACTTGGGGCAAAGGGCAGGCAGGAAGGGGAGCAGGTGCCCATGCCCAGGATGGCCGAGATTGGCCTGCCCTGCCAGAATGGCTAGGAGAGGGATTCTGGGCATCTGGAAGGGAGGGTCACTGTCCTGGTCTTGGCAGCCTGGTCCCTGTGGGTATCCTGGGGCCCAACCAGTCCTCATCCCCAAACCCTGTCACTGCCTGGACTAGGTCCCTTTCCAAATGGCCTCCTCTGGCCGGGTTTGCCCGATCGCTCAGTGCTGCCCCCTGCAGGTGGTGAAAGGCAGACCCTGCAGCAGCAGCAGCAGCTGGGGCTGTGGGTCATCGCTGGTTTCCTGACCTTCCTGGGCTTGGAGAAGATGTTCCTGGACAGCAAGGAGAGGGAGGGGGCCAGCCAGGTGAGCCCCAACCTAGGCCTGGCTGCATCAGCCTCTAGCCCTTGACAGTGCTCACGCTCTGGAGCCCATCCTTGAAAAGAGGTTCTCTTGACTCTCCTGGGAGCTGGGGAAATGGGGCCACTTCATTGGGAGGATCTGGGGTAACTGCCTCAGCACTGCAGCGGCTTGTCCTGTAGACTGCTAGCGATGGCAGTGCCAGCAGGTAGGGGTTGCAGAGTCTGGAGGCACCCCTTGATGGAGCAGCAGGGCCTAGATAGAGGTGCACCTCCTTCGGTCCCTTTTCCACCTCCCCTCTTCTGTGTCCATCTGGCTGAGTGGGGGGCATCTAATGTCACCTCTCCCTCCTTCTCCTGGCCCTAGGCCCCCAGCAAAGACCCCACTGCTGCTGCCGCGCTCAATGGAGGCCGCTGTCTGGCCCAGCCGGCTGCAGAGCCCGGCCTGAGTGCCGTGGTCCGGAGCATCAAAGTGAGTGGCCACTCAGGGCCCCCTCCTGCAGCCGCACAGCCTGAGTGGCCGGCCGGGCTCAGCCCTGCCCTCGCGGCTCAGCCGGTTCTCTCTCCCTTACCAGGTCAGTGGCTATCTCAACCTGCTGGCCAACACCATAGACAACTTCACTCATGGGCTGGCCGTGGCCGCCAGCTTCCTCGTGAGCAAGAAGGTGAGTGGGGTCAGGGCAGGTAGGGCTCCCGCACTTGTGGTGGGAACGATGGCACCTCTGCTGCCCAGAGGGTCCCCCCACCAAAACATGCCATGAGCCCATCGACTTCTCCCCTGCCATGTCCCTCACTCAGGCCCGAGTGCCCCTGCTGATCCCTGCCACAGCCTGTGTGGTCCCCTTGCTCTTCCGTTTGCGGGAGCCCTGGCTACTCCCCTTGTCCCCACACTCCTTGTTGGGATGCCTCGATCCAGCTGCTAAGCATGGCCCCTACCTACTCCTAGATGCTTCTTCTACCACCTCCCTCTGCCCTCTGCCCTGGCCCTCGTGGCCCCAAGAGTAGCTCAGCCTACTCCTGAGACCTGAGCCTTCCCCTCACAGCTCCGTGCCTGGAATGTTCCTCCTGCTCTGAATGGTGCGCAGGGCTCGTCTTCAGTCCTCGGAGGCCTTTGCTGGCCTCCCATCCAGGCTTTTCCTGCCCCCGTCCCGGCCCATCCTTGCCCTCCAGCGCCCCGGGTGTGCCACCACATGAGGGCCAGCTTCCTGTCTCCTTTAGTCCCTGCTCTGTCCCCAGTAGTCAGCGCAGAGCCCTGTCCAGAGCGGGCTCAGGGCAGTAGTTACGGTAAAACGAGCGGGCCAGTGGGGCACCCTCGGCACAGACCCGTGGGCTCAGGCTTCCCTCCCTGCAGATCGGGCTCCTGACCACCATGGCCATCCTTCTGCACGAGATCCCCCACGAGGTGAGTGCTGGAGGGCGGCATGGGGCCTGTGGAGGGCTCAGGGCTGGGTGGTGTGGGCAGGAGCCCCTCACCCCCCCAGGCCTCGCTGCCATCTGCCACACTGCAACCTCCTCAGGGGACGGCAGGGCTCAGTATGCAGGCCAGTACCCGAGGTGTGCAGGGCACATGGCCGAGCTGGGGCCCAGGGTGACCATCTGGACCTCCCTCAGGTGGGCGACTTTGCCATCCTACTGCGGGCCGGCTTTGACCGCTGGAGTGCAGCCAAGCTGCAGCTCTCGACGGCACTGGGCGGCCTGCTGGGCGCCTGCTTCGCCATCTGTACACAGTCCCCCAAGGGAGTAGGTATGGGCATGAGGGTGGTGGTAGGGGGGGTGGCCAGCAGAGGGACACCTGCTACGGGCACAGCTGCCCTGCTGATGCCCAGGCCGCTGTGTCCTGTCGGCCCTGTGGGAGGGGGTGGGGCACATGGTCCCTGAATGCCCAGCTGGTCACGTGTCCTCCTCCCGCAGAGGAGACGGTGGCCTGGATCCTGCCCTTCACCTCCGGTGGCTTTCTCTACATCGCCCTGGTGAATGTGCTGCCCGACCTCCTGGAGGAAGATGACCCATGGTGAGTGACACTCTGGGACTGCCCTGGGGGCCCTGAGGGTAGGAAGGGGGGAGCTGTGGCCTCCCCAGACCCTGAGCACCCCTCGTTCCCCGCAGGCACTCCCTGCAGCAGGTGCTCCTGCTCTGCTCGGGCATCGTACTCATGGTGCTCTTCTCCGTCTTCGTGGAGTGATCGTCCCGGACGCCCCCACCCTGCACAGCAATAAGAGACTCGGATTCACTCTGTGACTGCGTATGTGAGGGGAGTGCCTGCGAGTGGGAACGGGCTCCCACCCGCTGCGGGGAGGTGCGTGTGTGGTGTGTGCGTGTGCGAGGATGTGTGTGAGACCCACACTGTGATCCCTCGTGCGCCTGCCCCAGCCACGCTGTTCCTGCCGCCCTGCCCTGTCATCACACCTCTTGGAGGGAGCAGGAGGAACAGCAGCACTGGTCCCAAGCAAAGGCCTCGCCCGGCTGGGACCCCAAAGAGTAAGAGCAGCCCAGGGTGCAAGGAACCCCGGGCTGCGGAAGCCTCCAGCTGTCCGGCCTCTGTTCTCTGTGTGCTCGGTCCTGGGCAGCCTCAGGGCCAAGGCGGGCCAGCTTCTCTGCTGCATCCATCTTCCCGCCCGCCCCTCGCCACCTCTACAGCCAAAGACAGGAGAGGCGGTGCTCACTCGCTTGTAGCCCCAGCCCCTCAGCACTGACAGCCCCACCCTCCCAGCCAGCTGGGAGTTGCTCTAAGGCCTTTCCCTCCCTCAGGGCTGCCCTCCCGCCAGCTCCTGTGCGCCCAGTGATGCTCCCTGGCAGCACCAGCAACTCTTGCCACCTCCAGCTGCCAAACAGCAGCCTGCAGGGCAGCGGGCAGCCCCAGGCCAGACAGGCCCAGCCCAGCTCAGGGACGCCCTTGCCAGCACAGGCTCCTGGCCAGCGCTCCTGGGGCCGAGCCTCAGCTGCCCTCCCTGCCGGGCCCCTTCTCCCTTCCTACTGGGGCCAGGGCTAGGGTGGGGGCGGAGGGCTCCGCTGTCAGCACTCAGGAATGTGCTCTGGGAGAATGCGAAGCCATAATCCCCAGTTATTTCCCTTGGCCGCTGCCCAGGTCCTCAGCTGGCCCCTCCAGCCCAGCTCCGGCCCTGTGCTCACCGTGGACATTTTCAGTGGCTGCCGAGAGGGTGTGGATGGTTTTACAGCAGTTCTGCTGTGGTTCCCTCTGTATTTGTAAATACCTGTTCTATATATGAGATACAAATAAATATCACCCACCAGTGGGCTGCCTGCGTTCACGTAGCAGACTCTGCAGCCCCGGCGACTCGTCCCCGTGCTCCCGCAAGCCTTGTCTGCAGTTACTCGCGGTGCGATGCTCAACATCAGGTCTTCCCAGCTTGTCTGGCTGGCTGCCTCCTGTCCTAATAATGGCCGAGCACTTACATGAGCCTGGTCCTATGCCATCTGTTTCTTGCCACTCTCAAGGGTATTGTCATTTTGCAGACCTAAAAGCCAGGGGCTTTGCCCCTAAGGGCCTTAAAAACTTAGGAAAAAAAAAACTTAGTCAAGGACAAGAGTTCCACCTACAAAGTCATCTCCAGGTCTGGCCTCAATGAAATTGTGTGTTTTTGTTTTTGAGAGGTTTTTGCTATAGGGCACATGCGCACCAGAGAGAGACAGACAGACAGAAAGCAAGAATCACCCCCCAGGGGGGATGGCCACAGCACAATCCCTTCTCCTAGCTCTTGATCTTGGGCACGCGTGCACACGCACCCGGCATGAGTTTAAGCCACCAGGTCCAGGACTTGAACCACGGTCAACAACATGGGAGTCCAGCGACAGCCATTAAGCCAACTGCTGGTCCCGGCCTCAATGAAAGAACCGGCTCCCTGGCACCACAGTAATGAACTGCTCAAGAGAAGCCAGATCCCTCACGGAGACCACAGTTCAGATCCCCAGCCCCATTACCCCAAAACACGCTGGACACATGCACACATGCATGTGTGGGGCCCAGCAGGCTGGGGAAGGGGATCTTGGCATGCCCAGACCCTGTGACGGGCGCTCCTCCCTCTGTCTTTCATGTGCACACACTAGCACCCCATCATGAACAAAGGGGAGAATGTTTTCAGAGTGGGGACAGCAGATGGCACAATGGTTACGTCGCTGGTAAACACGTGGTCGAGTGTGGGATTTTTGCTAGAGGGCATGTGTGCTTGCCAGAGACAGGAAGGGAAAAATCACTCCCCGGGGGGCGATGGCCACACCACAATCCCTTCTCCATTCTCTCAGGATCTTGGGCATGCACGCACAAGTACCCTGCGTGAGTTTCACCATCTACGTCTGGAACTTGAACTGCGGTTGACTACGTGGGAGTCTAGTGCCATAACCATTGCGCCTTCTGCTGGTCCCCAGTAAGGGTGTTATGCTAACACCCACACGTTCCCCCTTGCCAAGTATGAGAACCACCAGGCATGGGTGCTTCTTTCCCCTACGCTATCAGAAGACAGAAAGGGCTGGCTTGGGGTTTCTGCCCACCTCTTTCCTCCCAAGCTGGCTGGGACCACCTGAGCCATGGCCGGGATTGCGGAGTCGGTGTCGCAGACTCAGATGTGTGGGCGTGAGACCCCACGGAGCTCCATGGCAGCTGGAGTACGAGGCTCTCAGCATGTCCATCAGCAAGACATTCTCACTGAGGTAACTGTCTTAAGGACCTGAGTCCAGCAAGCGTGACAGAACTAAGGAAGGAACCCAGAGCTTTCTCCACCAGCCTGCCCCCGCCCCTGCAGTGGTGAGGGCTCTGGCCGGGGCGTCAAGCCCTGCGTGCAGCTGACCTTACTACTGAAGAGTGGGTCCCTTTTGCTAGACAGTGCCTAGCTGGCTATAGTCATGTCCAGTGGAGAGGGGACAGGGGACTCAGGGCTTCTGTCATAGGACAAGTAGAGACCATTCAGAGAGCCACCAAAGCCGCTGGTAAGACAGCACACCGGAAGGTAAGCTGGCTTCATTCTCAGTCCTAGTCTGAATCCCAGCTGTGTAATGTCGGCCCAGTTGCTTAAGCACATCTATAAAACGGGAAAGCCCTACTGGTGGTTATCCTGACGACCTGGGAAAATGACTCACTAAGATCTGTGCAGCAGCCAGCGTGCCCTGTGACGGTGAGCCACAGCAGCCCGGGGTGGGGGCTGGAAAGTTGGTGTGGGACAGGAGAGGAGCGGCAAGGTCCCACAACAAAGTGCCAGGGCATACGGCGGGCCCGGGGGTGGGAGAGAACACACATGACCAAGACTAGGCCCGGGAGCGCCAAGTGGATCTTGCTCAAGGCTCGTTTTAAGCCAGAAGAAGTGGAAATAAAGAGCTAATGGCGGCCTGCAGAGAAACAGGAGACCCAGGGACCAGAGAGAGAGGGAGGCATTTCGAAGACCAAATCCCAAAGCTTGGCCTTACAAGGAGGCAAAGACTAGGGCCACAGCATGGAAATGCAGCGGGGAGGGAGGGGCTGCCGATCCGGCCTCTCCCCTGGAAGAGCCCCTCCCCTGGAACGCAGTAAAAGCTCAGGGAAGTGGGGCCAGGAGTGGGGGGAAGGTTCTGGGGACACGGAGGGTAGGAGGCCTGAAAACCCCAGTCAACAGCTGCAACTTCACAGAGGGCCGAGGGCTCACCCTGACAACTGGCTTGGGGCCCACAGCTGTCTGGGGGTTTCTGGTTGCTGTACCTGGGGAAGGGGCTTCTTACACGTGTCCCATTCTTCCACCATGAACTCAGGGGAGGCAAGACAGACAGATGCAGGGACCCAAAACCACCTTTTATTATGGACTTCAACCAGCAAGAGACCAAGAGGCAGGCGGGGGACACCCCTAGGCATAGTACTGCAGGTTGGCTTTCTTCTTGGCCTGCACCTCCAGGATGCCCTCCATGTAGTCCTCGTGGGTGAGCTCCGTGGCACCCCTGCGCAGTGCGATCATGCCCTGCAGCCAGGACAGACAGGGTTGAGGGTGCCGTCCCACACCCTAACCCAGTCCCAGAAGCCTCGACCTTCTCAGCCTCTTCTCAGTAGATCCACCAGCCAACTCCCTCCTCTCCACTGCCCCATCCAGACCAGGAAAGGGCAAGAAGGCCTGGAACCCCACCCCCAGGTTGGACACTCACCGCCTCCACACACACAGCCTTGCACTGGGCCCCGTTGAAGTCATCCGTGCAGCGGGCCAGCTCCTCATAGTTCACGTCAGGGCTGGGGAGAGGAGGGTGTCAGGCAGGGAGGAGCCAGGGGACACATCCTCTGAGACGCCCTGGGACCACAGGCAAGACCCTGACCTATTGTGCTGTTTTCTCCTCAGTACCAGATGGGAAATGAAGAAGGGGCAGGTTAAAGCAAGTCAGACCAGGTTATCTGTAGCATCCTGAGCTCTAACTCTCAGAAATCTGCATCAGAGGGGACCAGCAGGTGGCGTGGTGGTTAAGGTGCTGGACACGCCCACATGGAGTCCCGAACCTGGTGACTTGCTTTCTTACTTTCTCTCTCTCTCTCTCTCTCTCTCTCTCTGTGTGTGTGTGTCTCTGGTCAAATTAAAATAAATAATGAATAAGTAAAGTTAAATAATTATTTAAAAAAAAAAAGAAAAGAAATCTGCATTGGAGACCTCAAGGACTGGCCTGAACTGAGCAGGGGATCGAGGTGTGGAGACCAGACGGCCTCATGTGTCCCCAACAGAGCAGCCCTGCCTCGCACAGTAAAACTTCCAGTCCTGTCCTCGCCACTGGCCAGACACTGCTGACACCGTCTCAGCTGACCCTGACCACGACCCGAGTCAGTGCCTCGCACTTCAAGTCTCAAATGAGAAACAGACAGAGAGGTTCTGCCACCCGAAGGCCCACAGTCTGAAGTTGGGACCGCCTGGTCCTGGCAGATTCTCTGGGCCACGTGCCCCTGCTGAGGGGCAAGAGGTGAAAAAGTGCCTCCAGCCACTGTGCCTTCCAATGGGCATGGAAGAGGAGGCAGGTGGTTTTTTTTGTTGTTAAAGAATTATTTTATTTAATTTTGTTTATTTATTTTTTAATTTGACTAGAGAGGAAGGGAGAGAGGGAGAGAGAGAAATTAAGCCTCCAGGTCCAGGACTTGAACCAGGGTCGGCCATGTGGGAGTCCAGTGTCCTTAACCACCACACCACCTGCCGGCCCCGGAGGCAGATGGACTGTAAGGAACAGAGCACCCAGAATCAGGGTCGGGCCCGAAGACTGCTCAGGCACTGGGGAGACATGGGAGCTGGCAGATGGAATAGCACAGTGTGCGCACGGCGAGGGGCAGGCGGTCGCAGAGGCCTGGGGATGCTCAGCATGAAGAAGAGAGCCAGCAACGCTCTGCTGCCCATCGGGGCTCGGTACCCCACTCGTGTTCCCACTCACCTGACATTCATCTTTCGGGAGTGGATCTGCATGATTCTGGCCCGGGCCTCCTCGTTGGGCATGGGGAACTCTATCTTGCGGTCCAGGCGGCCTGAACGGAGCAGGGCAGGGTCCAGGATATCCACCCTGTTAGTGGCTGCAATTACCTGGGCAAGGGGAGAAGCAGCCGTTTGAGTGGAAGAGTGAGGGGGGCAGAGACAGGTACAGCATGGTCACTAAGGTGAAGAGGCAGCTGGGCGAGGATGACAACAGGGGACAGTACAGACAGCCCAGCCCTAATTCTAGCTCCACCACTCACTGGGTGGCCTACGGCAGTCCCCTGACCCTCATTTCCTTCCTCTGAGAAGCAGTGATAACACCCACCTTTACTTGGGTGTTGGGCTGGAAGCCATCCAGCTGGTTGAGAAGCTCCAGCATCGTCCTCTGCACCTCCCGGTCCCCGGCCTTCTCACTGTCAAAGCTGGGGTGCACAGGAGGCCCGAGACACTGGTGAGGCCACGGCATGGGCAGAGACCATCCCCTCACCCACTGGAAGCCTAACCCAACCACCAACCTGTCCAGGGCATAAGTGGCTCCTTCAACTTGGGGACCTCAGCTTAGAGATCCAGCCTGGGGGAGGGGGGCCCTCCCCGTAGGCCACGGCGAGCCCAGCAATGACGCTAAGGCACCATAGGGAGGTCCAGGCAGGGTTTTTAATGGGCTTAGTGGGTGTGAGAACATGTGAGTGCAGTGTGCGCAAGTGTGTGAAGTGGCCAGATTTGTCCTGAAAGGAACACGCTGGCAGCCATGAGGGGACTGGATGGTCCAGGAAGCAGGGAGGCTAAAGAACTCAGGACGCAGGGACCAGCAGTTGGCATAATGACTATGTTGCTGGACTCCCATGTCGTCAACTGTGGTTTGCGTCCCGGACCCGGTGGCTTAAACTCATGCCAGGAGTGTGTGCGTGCGTGCCCAAGATCCTGAGAGGAGAATGGAGGAGAAGGGGTTGTGGCATGGCCATCCCCCTGGGGGGTGATTTCTCTCTTTTTGTCTGTCTCTCTCTCTCTGTCTGGTGAGCGCGTACGCCCTATAGCAAAAAAAAAAAAAAAAAAAAAAAAAACC